GTGACAGCCGACGTTCACAGCGCGACCCCTGCACTATGTGCGGTGGCATGAGGCAAATAGCTTATTACTGCAACAGGCGGTGCAAGGCTAGCCGAGCCTTCATTGGAAGCCGAGCGTATCTTCCACTTTCATGGGGTAGAGTAAGTGGCCAGATGATTATATAACAAGTGTGAGCGCGACGGAAAATGAAAAGGAGAGGAGTAGAATCCTCAGTGGAGGTGTTGGAGAGATAGTGGAGTGTGCTGATGCTGATGAGGGCACCAGCGAGGGTTCGTTTGGTGTGGTTTTGAGTGCAGTGCGAGACGAGCCCAAGGGTCACTCCAAGATGGTGAAGTTGAACCCTGGCCTGGTGGTCGGCCAAGATATTCGATCGACGAATCAGAATGAGAGCTCTGGTGCAAGGCGCAGTAAACGATAAGCGGACGAAGAATCTCCTCGACACGGAAGCGAACGTTAGTGTGATCACTGACACCTTTACCAAGAAGTTGCGGCTCCGAGATGTACCTGCTCACGGACGCCGTATTGACATTCAAGGAATCAGCGAAGGCAAGGTGCTTACGACACGACGAGCGTGCGTTACGATTACGCTCCAATGGGAGATAGTGTACGAATTCGAGATGTGGGTAATGGCGCATAGTGCGGGCGTCGACGTGGTACTCGGGACCAGCCCGACTTGACGCTTCGCTAGTCGATACTCTTGCCCCTCGTGCGCTTGTATGTCCAAACGCTCGGGTGGCCCGGCGTTAACATGAAATCCGTACTCTTCACTGTCGATCATATTCTTGGTCTTGATCAGTGGGATTTGAACTTCGTGCGGCAATCGCGCCGCGCCGTGAAACAGGTCCAGACGAATTCCGGCTGAGATCGGAAGGACACGTACTGTGGGTTCGTCGAACGGACAAGCTAATCCCGTCAGTGGCGAGGTTTCGACGTGGACCGCCTCAAAGTTCGGTTGACCAATGTGTGTGACCAAACTGTGTACCTACCAGCATACGACTCGATCACGATGTGGATACCAGATGGGGATTTGCCGCGAGGTGACGGCTATGTCCGTCTGGACTCCAAGAAGTACCGAGATTGGCAAGTGCTGGCTTATGAAGACTGCAGAGACCGGAAGCTATTTCAGCGGGAGTGTGAAATATACGAACAATGGCTCGCGACCAGACTATCCAGAACCCCCTGGGGCGCTAGCAAGGCCCTTCGAAGAACGAACTAGTTAGTTAGTCGGTCGTTGGACGGACTACAAAGTGCTACCAGGTGTAATGGGCCTACTTTAAGCCCACTACTTCGGCTTACACGTTAGCGCACGTGTATGAGGAAACGTAAGATGCGTTTCACTTCGATTAACTATACATTCGTCCGAAAGTATAGATTTACTTAAATAGGAAAGCAAAGCCGAATTCCGGTAAAATAAGAACAGTTTATTTGTTTGTTTGGGTTTTCATCCTACTCTAATATTCTTGATATCCTTGGCCGCGCTTCCAGCGTGGACGCCCCAGATGGGCCCAGTGTCATGCGTCGCGGTTCAGAAGACATATCTGACCCATCATCAGTCGCGGATTCGTAGCTAGAGGATGCAGCATGGCTGATCCTCTGCGACGACACTGGGTCCATAGTGTGCGACCTTTCCCCGGCGATGGACTTGACTCTGTCGAAGAGGTCCCGCGTCGCCGATTCTATGAGATCCAAGTTTAGCTCGAAGTTCCTTTGCATCAAAGTCACTAGCTACGATGCCTGAATCCGTAAGCAAACGTAATGGATCCTTGACTGCCACCAACTTGTTCGCCGTTTTCGTTGGTGCTCTCACTGGTTCCCTTGGATCTTCGATCTGTCGTGGATTCAGGATCCGCATGACAGGATCTTGATGCAGAAAATCGCGTAGAGATTGATGGCGATATACAAACTCGAGATCCTTGTCGGACCGGCTTGACCTGGATCCAGCTTGGTCTTCTTCCGACTCTGGAGCTTGCATCTTCTTCCGCGCAGTCTTACTCGTTTTCGTCTTCTTTCTCGTCTTTTCGACTAGCGGACTTGGGCTTAGGTACGGTCTTGGCTTGACCGGTGAGTCTGCAAATGCATATTGTTTCGCCTTCACTTTCCCTTGTTTTGTTAGCGGATCTTGACGCCAGTCAAGATCCGCAGGGGTCCCCGAGGGGACCTGGGGAGGATAGAGAGGTTTCTCTTCTAGATCCGGATCTACCTCTCTTCCGTCGACATAGTTCTTCCCAGGACTCCATCGATCCGCGGATCTTGCTTCATTCAGCAGCGTCCTCGTCGATCCGACCTCCGATGACGCCTCCTCCCCTGGCTCAATCTTCACTTGAGCATCTTCTTGGGACTCACGGTGAAATCCCGAGTCACCAAACGATCCGGGCACGCGCACCATTGTGGCGTAGCGGGATCAGCAAAATCTGCGAGATTGCTGGATCCAACTTACCAACAGCGCCCAGACACCGACTAATGGAGGGGTCCCCCGATGACCCGTGATCTGTTGAACTCTCCTCACCTTGTGTACCCGTCGGTAGGGCGGGATCTTGCTCTCTCGGTAACTTCCGAAGAGTCCAAGTGGTGAAGCTTGAGTGTCTTGGCGAGACGTGGGGATGGGGTGGAGCAGTAGTGGTAAGATCTTCACTCTGCGTCCGTAGTTGTTTCTGGATTCTAAGCGAATATTCGAGCTTGGTGGATCCAGGGCCTAGATCTTGGATCTGACCGTAGGGTTGCCTTGCGGGTGTGTTTCCTTGCCTTAGTGTTTCCTTTTCGTCGTACTTGCCGCCTCCTATGACGGGATCTTGAGAGTTGAGAGCCTCTAGGGTGTTGCCGGCCAGGCAGTAAATCCGGTTAACCTTTCGGATCTGCACGTGTAAAGGAAAGCTCACTAGGTTGTAGGATCTGGCCAATGTATATCCAGTTATCAATACCAACACAAGTTTCGCAATTCCAACCTTCACCGAGCTCGTACGGCCAATGTAGTTCCGATTCTTGAGGACAGGAAGGCACTTGCATGATACTGTGCAAATTGAGGTCTGTATTGATAATTAAGCCTATACCTGCCTGGATTTCTACCTTCTATGTATTTTACCTGCTAAATCCCCTACCAGGCTCGGCTGCATGTCCTTTTTCTCCTCGACCCATCATCCCAGCTGTATTATCATCAGACCCACCGGATCCATGGCGTAGTCATTGAGGTCGCCATACTATGGGTACACTATTCTGGATCCAGGTCACCTTGATCCACCTCACCGCAAGTGTACGTTCGTCATGGACCTGAGCTCTCCAATCTTCCAACATTGTCTTACGAGTGTTTGTGATCTCCATCGCTCCACGAAAGTTCGAGATCCGTTGCATCCACCGGTCCCCATATCCTGGATCCAGGTCACTCGATGTGGGATCCTCACCCCCTGGGATTCGGACTCGGAAGTTTGGGATCTGAGACATATCGTGGTGGATCTTGCCTTTCCGTTTGTCGTTGATACCAGATCTACCTTCGGATGACACCTACCATCCTTCCTTCATAGGATCCCCACTTGATCCACCTGCACATGGTATATTCCATATCCCCTAGGTGTAATCAGGTGAGGATGGATCCGAGTATCCACTTGGTGGATTCTGCCTTCCCATACGTTATCCATGCCGGATGCATCGTCGACACATATAGGATGCCGCCTTACCTTGGCCCAATTCACTTCGAGCAGCGCGGATCCATGCCGGGCGATCCAGATCCTCCCTACTCGCCAGGTGTAGTCACTAATCTGGGATAGTGACTCCTTGTCAGATCCAGTCTCTTATTTCTGAGAAAGCACTTCACCACAAAGCCGTTTTCGCTGGCGCAGAGTTAAAGGCAACAAGTAAAGAAATGAAGATCGCGCATAGCACGCTGAAGAAATACTTGGCTGCTGCACGTAAAAACACTCCTCAAGAACCCAAGCGTCGTGGGCCGCCTCCAATGCTTTCGAAGAGTGCCAAAAATGTCATTAGAGACTGGATCCTCCAGCGACAGGTGACCGGCCATCCTGTCGGACGGCAAGATGTCCTGCATAAGGCACAGCAGATTGCTGAGCTCGTGTGTGGTGTGAGTGTAGGTGAGGGGTGGTTGACGCGCTTCATTTCGCAGCTGTAATATTTTACCGCTTTCACGTCCTAACATGCACACCAAGTTAGCCAACTTCACGCGAAATGGTTTGCCTCAATCTTACTGATATACAGCGTTCCTTAAGATCTCTGATATTGTGCACCAAGCGATTTTGGTGCTTTCAGCACCTCGACCGAGCTAAACAAGGAAGCGGAAGAGATACTTACTCGTGAAAGACTTGAGAAAGAGACTGAGGTGCCGAAGACGAAGCCTTCGCGAAGTAAGAAGCCTGTAGGACAAAAACAAAATGGCAGTTGAGGCACTGCCGCCCTTGTTGGAGGCGTGGATTCAGCCTCAACAGGAAGCCTGGGTCTAGTGGGCCTGTAGAAACAAATAAACCAATTTATGTCATACGCTTTCATCTTTATGATGTTGAAGAGTATCTTTTTCCCAACATGCTTGCATACCGCACTTTCTCGTGAACAAATGTTTGCTTTAACACATTTGTGAAATCGGAAAGAATGCTTTATAAAATCGTTTCACCTGCTGTAATTTATTTGTTAAAAATCTTAAAAATCGGTCTGTTACTTCTCATTCCAACGCTACCTCATATGTGTCAATTGGAATATTAGATACCGAGTTATCGCAGATTTAGTGAAAGCACTCAATCGAAGCTACAGTACTAAACTGACACTTTGCCTTCAACAGTAATTCCTAACGTTAAAAATTGATCGAGTTACAGCCACAACCGTTAGTGGCCGATCTAATCTGGCGTGGAGTGTAGTATCGGAACCATCAGGTAGAGAGCGCTTGAAACTATTCTATCAAAAACAGGAACAATGGAAACAAAGGAAGTTACTCAGCCTCCGAACGATTGTGCTCTTGTTACTTGCCATCCTTGGCTGTTATGGCTATCAGTGTCCTACTATGTCTATTGTGCAGCTGCATCATGAACAATTGTCCTAATCACCTCATTGTGCGGATAGCGCTTCTCTAGGTTAAGCTTTGCGTGCTGCTCACTCACTTTGTCGAATTGCTCGAGGCGGAAGTAGCTCATCAAGAAACGCTCATAAAAGTTGTCACGAAGCTTCAAGCGGTTGTTTTGCGAAAGACTTTCAAGAAGTTTTTCACCAATTCGGACGTTGGCCTCGAACCGTCCGCGTACCTCGTTGCTTCCCATCATCTTGACGATCGTGTTGACGGGAACACGCGCTACGCCCAGTTCCAACAAATAGTCCACCAAGAACTCGCACTCGTCATCCCATTGTTGTTCTACACATTCCTCCAGCAATAGATACACCAGAAAGCCCTGACCGCTCAGCACTGAAGGACGCTCGCCCCAGAATTTTAAAGAGCTCTCCACGGCTGCGTGAGACGCCATCCTCTTCATGTCGTAATTAAACATCACTTGCACAGTTCGGCGTAAGGCCACTGCGCCACCTTTCGAGCGAGTGGCTTCCATGACATCAAGCACTTGCACGAGCGATGGCACAGCGTGTCGATGCTTGAGCATTTCCCACAGCACCATATTAAGCAACTCGGTCTCAACTTCCTTGTTTACAACAGGAATGTTTGATACTAAACCCGCGTCCCCCAACGACAATCCTCTAGTGTCGGCGTTGTTGAGACAAATGGCATCTTGGTATGCTTTTCGCTCTTCCAGCAGCGTCTTCAAATTGGAGTATTCCTCGCAGTAGTTAACCCAGCAGAAGCGCACCATATCCAGCGCAGTAGAATCCGTGAACCGACAGGCTGCACGCAGCGCCTGGCGGAAATTAATCTGATATTCAGGTATGCAGTGACGTGGGTAGCTCTTGAAGACTTCGAGTGCGAGGTCTGGACGCTTCATATTCAAACTGACTTTGATCAGTCCACTCCAAATGTCAGGCTTTAACGTGTAGCCACCATCGTTTTGCAGTGCTTTCGCCAGGTGAATCGCAGTTACCAATTCTCGCTCGTCGCGTTTCCGATCGCGTAGATTGGATCGAATGGCGAGCTCGTAGCAACCCAGCGGGATGACAGCAGCAGGTGAGAACCGAGCAATTGTGTCAATCGCTTGTCGCGCCAGCTCCCCATTCTTCTCGCTATAGCACGCATGGAGAAGCAAGTACAAGTTGGGGACTGTGCTGCAGATTCTCTCTAGCTGGTGCTCATCGTTCTCAAAAAGCCGCACAATCTTCTTCGACTGCTTCAAAGCAGCCAGGGAGCGGAGATAACACGAGTATACGGCGCGTGGTAACTGTGTCACGTTCTCGATCGGTACCCTTTTCTCCTTTTCTTTCGATTCAGCTTCACCTTTTTTGTCTCCGTCACAAACATCATTGTCCGCTACCTTGGCTGCTTGGCGAAGCTGATGTTCCTGCAGCCACACTCTTCGGTCACGGTCGTAGGACTCGAAGAACGCCACCGCCAGTTTGTGTTCGTTCAATTGGTGGAAAGCTTTCACCAGATTACCGACCATCAGTGCCTCATTGGCCACCACAACATCCACGTCTTGATCGGGACCCGTGGAGCCCACAAACATCGCGCGTGTAGAGATGTCGACCGAAAGCTGCGCAAAGATGTCGGCAGGCACAATCTGCAAAAGCCAAGTCCGGTCGTCGCCCACGTCCTCCGTAGTCGCCAGGCGCACTTGAAGCGGTTTTTCCTTGTCCACCACAAAGGGTCGACACTGCGAAATGACCTGCCAAGTGTCCAGCAGTTGCGTAGACGACGGCACATGCTTGATTTCTAGTGAGAAACGGCCGAGCGCGTGGGCTGCAGCTTTTCGCTCTCTTGGGTCTAGCGAACGTTTAAATGCTGGCAAAGAGATGTCTGCGGGAGGGTGAGGCCTCAGTACACGCTTAGCAACTACTCGGTTGGCAGGCGTTGTAGATGATGTTGGTGTGTGTCTGCTTCTGGGGGGCTGCGTCTGCTGCTGTCTCGATGTCGGAGGGCTCTCGAAGTTGGCATTGGGACCCAGACCCAACCACGCGACGAAATCGGAGGCGCGGCTCCAGATCAATCGCTGCGATTGGTGCTGCGGTACTCGAGCACGTCTCAGGTTCAGCATTGTTGAATCAAAATTGGTGGTGTGTGGATCCCGCAAATGTTTCAAATTACCGGTATAGGATTTGTTCGAAAATCTCGACAACTCGAGAAAACAAGCGAACTTTAGAACAACCCACCGCATCAGTGCCTCAGGGTTGGCACTGTCATCGTGGCATAAAGAGGAAGACTTATTATCACGTCTCGTGCTGTGCGTTCTGTTGCCCCTGGTGGCCACTGTCACGTCAAATTTCCCTGTTTGCAAGCACCAATTACGGTGGTTAAAATTTGGGTTGCTAGCTGACCGCCAACATAGAGTAAGAGATCATGGACGTCTGGAATTTGCAGCGCAAGCGACCGAGACCGTGGCACTCCCTTATCCGGTTGCAAATTGCACCCACTCGCTCTCTCAATTTTCGATGAAATGAGCTCTTGCATAACTATTATACAGAGTAAACACAGTAGTCGTTGGAGCAATAAACAGCATTTACCAATTTCTCAAAACACGTAAAAAGTCGATCCACTTCACAAACGTTACACAAAGTATATTTCGTTCAGATGAAAAAGATGGTGCTCTGTATTCCTCTTCGTATTTGGAAGAACAAGCAGCAAGCAGCCAAGAAATACCCGCCTCTCCTCGTCCCTTTTCGGATAGAGCTGATGGTCATTTGTGACGGGGTCACACAGCACCTTGCGCTAGAGGAAGTTATCTTCCGAGAGTATACAAACTCTCAGTGAACGGCAGTTCACAGGTCCCCTCTTTAATTTAAGAGAGCGAAGTGACCTAAATAAGGTAGATTGTAAACTGAGTATATTTATAGGTAGGTTAAGTTTGAGGTTAATACAAACTATCAGTTACCTATAGAAATGCAATGTCATTTAACCAATGGTTGGTTTTGAATGACCTTGGTACCTTGTACCAAATATCCCGGAGTATGACATGTCATACTCCTGAAGTGTGAAGTGTCACACTTCATGTAACCAGGGTACACTTAGTGCTACGTACCCCGTTACATCATTGCATAAGCTCTCATTAATGTATTTGTTCGTGTGACCCCTAAAGACTGTGGTAAGTGCTGATCAATCGGTCATAGCGAAAGCTGCGTATGTCGGATTGTCTTAAAGTTTTGACCATAAGCTAAAGCATTGTGTGATCTATCGCAGCGGTGATTGGATATCTACTCTAATATTCTGTTTATCAGCGAAAAAAGTAAAGCAGGGCCGCAGAAAATCACACCAACGCGGTTTATCAGCGACCATAATTTCTTCCTGCTCGACGCAGATAAGTGCAATACAGTGCAATATATTGTCATTCTTTTATTCCTCTTCTCTCTTACGCTTACAAAACCTGATCTTCTTTTTAGACCTGACGGGATGTTCTTGTCGCCGTTCCAGAGTTTGTGCCTAATCTCGTAGCTAGTTGTTGTGTTGCCTTCCTTCTTTCGTCGAATGTTGTCGCAAAGTGGAACGCGACCACCAAACCTATCCCCAGTCTTGGCAATAGTAACTTGTGTCAAAAGACTTCGTGTTCTCGTTCGTAAATGCGGAACACACCTTCCACAGGTACTGCCCACACTTGTGCTGCTTGCTCGATGAATAGAAGTCGTCTGGGCTGACTAACGCATGCTGATGCCTCGGCACGGGTACGGTTATTAGGTCATCAGCGTTCATGTGAGTCTCACAGTTGATGGTGTAGGAGGAAGCTCCATGGGTGTGAGCTGGTCATATCGATGGGAGAATGAAGAAGGACCCACATGTGGGGTGTGGGCCAGGAGGAGGATCACTGATGTGAGCTGGTCACATAAGAGAAAAAGAGAAGAAGAATCCACATGAAGGGTGTGGATCAGGAGGAAGAGGTGAATGTTTTATGCATAAAGAGTGACGTTTTCACGTGCAAAGAGTCCCGGACCAAATTCGACTTTCGAGTGCTTGGACCATATTGGTCTGATTATGACTCGACCTTATGAGATGGATCCGGCTCGGATCCAAGCGCGGATCCGGTTCAGATCCAGAAGTTGACCCAGATCCAGATACTGATTTGGCTTGGATCCCAAAGTGGATCTAGCTCAGATCCAGGTGTATGTTGAAAGGGTGGATCTGGCCCAGATCCAGGTGTACGTTGAAAGGGTGGATCTAGCCCAGATCCAGGTGTATGTTGAAAGGGTGGATCTAGCCCAGATCCAGGTGTACGGCGAGGATCTGACATGACCACTCAACTAAACGAACGAATGTTAGGGAAGGTGCAATCAAGAAACGAAAAGTGGATTATGCAAACAGACTAGATCGATTTAGTTTCCAGCCGCTAATTGTTACTACGAGACGGATCCACGAAGACTGGAAGTGGAGGCGCAGAAAGAAGGAGTGATATGGATCAGGTGGTCTTGGGCTGAACGTTGAAGAACTTGCTCACCAGACGTGGGATCCGGTGTGCTGGGTGTTGGCTGGGGTCTCCTCGAAATCGGTTGCGCCAAGGTTCCGCTTCGTCGATCTTTTGCAGAGCCTCCAATAAGCTCGTGGGTCCAGGGCGGTGAAGGTTAGGAGCTTCCAAGTTAGCTTGACGAGATACGAATCCGGGGAACCATGTCACTTTATCCCCTCGTCTCGGAAGGTGTAGGAGGAACGGATCCAACAAGATATCCACGTCACACTAACCGTCTTGCATTGCCAACACAATGATCACGAGAACCTTCTTCCAGGCTCGACCGACGTGACTGCGTCTGTTGCCGCGCTGCTTGTTGAAGTTCAATACCCACGTCGAATCTCGCAGCTGGACACGAGAAATGGGAAATCGATGGGAGCCTTCCCATATGGCGATCCGGTGTTTGGAAGCGAAATCTCGGAAGGCGTAACGAATAACCCGAGGCGTCCACCGACGTCACCTCGAAAACTAATGGGATCCACCAGAGTAGTCGTCAAAATATCCCATGGTGCAGCATTGTGTAACTCTTCCACGTGGGATCTGCTGACTAACGAATCCACATACCCGGATGCCGGCATGTCATCCTCTTCACGAGGGAATATCCACTCAGTGCGAAACGGCAACTCAGGGAACAGGATGGTGATCTTCATAGTGGCGATGGCGACACGATTCAACTTCTTGGCGGACCAAGGTTCGATAGTGTCTGCGGTGAAGGTCTCAGGCGCGAGCCGACCAGGAATGAAGGTGGCATCCGGGCCAAACGGGGCCACGGGAAGCATGCCTGGTAGGGAAGTGTTGGGAGGAGCGGTGACCAAGGCAGATCCAGTGGATCCGCCACCCCTCTCCATCGTCACTACCCGATCCATCATCGCTGTCGATCGGGATTGCAGATCCCGCAGTGCCGTCTCCAGATCCGAGCGCTCCAACGACTTGTTTGGTCGGCGTCGGGTGAGACCTCCGCCGAGCTTCAGATCTGGATTGCGACAAAGCCCGCCGCATGTCTTCCTCTAAAGCATCGTCGGCAATCCGGGCCTCCTCTGAATCCTCAGGATCTTCATCATGATCGGCATCATTATCGTCGGGACTGAGCGAATAATGGCCCGCTGAGAGAGTACGCTTCGAAGACGAACGGATAGGAGGTCCCTAGCCATCGGACCAATCGGATCCATCTTCCTTGTTATGTTCCGAGCTGCCGAGTCCACAGCCGGTAGTAATGGCACGTTTGGCCTTAGCCTTACCGGATCCAGATCCCACCAGATGAGATCCAGTTGAGGCTGGTCGGGGGACGGTAGACACCGCCACGGAGGGCCCAGCAGTGGATCCCGACTGAGCCGAGCCGGACATGGCCGTGGATGATGCTAGCCCCGTTGTAGAAGAGGCAATTGCCGTAGATCCAGTCGACGCAACCGCGGACTTGGTAGCGGATCCGGTCTTGGATCCAAATCCAGACTTCGAAGACGCATCAGTGAATCCAGTCTTGGATCCAGATCCGGACTTCGAAGACGCAGCCGCGGATCCTGTCTTGGGTCCAGATCCAGACTTTGACGCCGCAACCGCGGACTTGGTAGTGGATCCGGATTTGGATCCAGATCCAGACTTCGAAGGCGGAACCGAGGACTTGGATGTAAATCAGATTTGGATCCAGATGTCGGTGGTACGGCCGCAACGGGTACCTGCTTGGATGTCGGAACGCTGGATCCGGCCTTGGGAGCCACCTCGGCAGTAGGGCCGACTTTGGACTTGGTCTTGGCAGGAGCTCTTGCCGGGGAAGAAGTCCAAATTTTTTGTGGGGCCGGGGGGATCCAGCACTGAAGCAGGGGATGCGCTGCGTGGTCGTTTCGCAGCCGAAGGATCTGTCCCACCTAGAGACTGCTGGGAGGCCGAGGCGTTAGCGGCCGGGGGCGATCCAGTTTGAATGGAGAGTGGATCAGTGATGGCAACGGCCACCAAAGTCAGCCGTCGACGCGCCATGTCACGCTCGGACAAACTGCGGTCACGCTCCAGAACCAGTTCCTGGTGCTGATTGCGGACGGTAGCAAGTTGATCCTGTAGTTGAGTCGAAGTCACCTCAGCCTCTTTCAATTTGTCACCTGGATCAGCAGAACAAGTGAATATGGGATTACAAGAAGGAAACAAAAGGGGATCCGCGTACTCATACGACTGATCTTGGATTCCAGCTCCGTTTGCGTCCGCGTGGCATCTGCCCACTCGGTGGCTGCTATGTCACGTTGGAGCTCGGTATCCGTCAACTTGTCTTGGAGTTCGTCACGGGCTTGAGTCATACGCACGAATTCCTCAAGCGCGTAGTCTCGCCGAGCTGACAATTTCTCAATCGACTCTTTGGCATCCTTCAGCTCATCAGAGAGACGAGCCAGGGCGACGTTTGGCGACGAGGGACGTGGATTCGCCGCGGGAGACCCTCCGCGAGCTGACCCTAAGGCAGATCCACCATGGGCGGATCCCACATAATCGTTGGTCACCACCTCTTCCTGAGTTAGGCGCAACTCGTCGCGGAGCCGATCCAAGGTCTCGTCGGCAGCCACACTAGCGACTTGAGCCCCTTCAAGATCCTGCTCCAGATCGTGAATCTGCGATTGGAGCTGATG